TGTGACATTAATGAAGATTTTATTAATGATACAAAAAGAAAAATTAACATCTAAGGATTTTCAGAGGCTTCAATTACGTACCTAAACCTTGAGACTTGCTTAATTTACAGATACTTATCAGCACTCTAATATCCTGTATATGCTTCTGGGCATATACTATAACATATAATATATACTATATATACTACAGTGTGATATACTAACATGATACTAAAATTACCTCTATTTCAAAGTCATAGCTTGAAATAAAGGATAGTAATAACCACCATACAAACCTAATCAAGTCTTTATACTTTGTTTAAAGAGAATGAATTTGTACACCAACTCCAATTAGATTCTGCTATTGTTCTAACTAGAACAACAAGAGCAAGGAACAGCTAGGTTACAATTTATCTTCTAATTATTGCACCAAAACCCATTTAAAAGCCTCTTCCATAATTTATCCTTTGTCTGCTAGTAGGCTTATGAATAATTTGAGAGCAGTAACAGTTCTTTTTCAAGGAACAAACATGGAAGCACTGAAATGCTGCATTTTATTTTACAAGACTGCTTCCACTTTACTTGGTGCCACATTTGCATTCTGCTGCTAGTGATTGCACTACAAAGTGCTGACACAAAAGCCTTTGTGTTTTTATTTGCCTGTCTACAAGTAATCAGGTACAATTTTTCATGTTTCTGTGGCACCGATCCAATAAAGGTAGTTTATAAAAGCAACACTTGTTTGTCTCTGTCTCACTTCAGAAACAGCTGTTTCATTTTAATTACTGCCTGCAGGACTAATTGTTTTTCTTCTTCCTCCCCATTCATACTCTGTCAAAAATTCGTCAATTATTTTTTGCTTACATTTTATGTTCAGGTACATAAAAGTCTACCAAATAAGACTGCAGACATCTACACAATACATCCAACACACAATACCTTAGAAAGATTTAAGTTTTTGCATTTGGTATGTGTTCAGATAAAAGACTGATGCAACTGTAGTGTATCTAATACCAGAGTTCAACATTTGTTTAAATTGAAAGTTGAAGACATGACTGCAAGAAAGAAAAAAGAATGAACACAAGACATTCTGACAAAAAATTCACTTGACTTGGAACACAGTATATGAAAGCTTATATGGCAATTGTCTGTGCAAGTAGAGACTAGACCCTGGACAAAGTAAAACCTGCAAACACATGATTTAGCCTACCTTCTCCCTCAGAAAAGCTAACTCCTTTCCATTAGAAACACATCTGCCATAAAGACTTTTCTGATTCAGATGTGCTCTGGAAATATGCTGGGTCTGTACACAGGTTCAACTGTCCTCTGTTTTGATCTTGGGTTTCAAGTATATTGGGCCTATTTGATTATGTACCTTGCAGATACTTCTACACCCTTTCAAAATAAAAAGCTCATACCATACCTTGAACTAGAAGAGAAATATGAGTCTTCCACATCATCTGTGTAGCTCTTCTTTGGCTTTGCAACTGCAGGTGCTTCCTGCTCTATTGTTTGCATATCTGAGGTGACTGAGTGAGAAATGCCACTGGGGACAGGAAGAAAACAAGTATGTAAAGAGATGACAAAGCTCACACCCTAAAGAGTAAGAAATGAAAGCCCCAATCTAGATTCTGACGCTTGCTGATAAACCCCAAGCTATGCAAACACTTAAGGAGAAAGGAGGAATTGAACAAAATAAAGAAAAGCCTTGGAAAACTGAACTCTAGTTCAGTAGTAGTGCCAGGAAATCTAAACACACAGGCCATTCTGACAGCTGGAAAACACAGCAATGTGAGTTTTTCAGTTTGGGCTTGTAAAAGACAGACTGTATTTAGGCTGGTACTGCTCTCCAAAAACATTCTGACAACCTTTCTCCCAGTCAGCTAATGGAGGCAAACACACTACAGACACCCTACAGTTAGGTTAACTCCTGTCTGGCAGGTTAGATCTTAAATCTATCAGAAGCAACCCTGCCCCTTCCATCTGACAAATACTAGATTCTATTAAGTTTTCATAACATGCTTTAGTAGATTTTTTTCCATTTCCTGAGTAAAATGAAGGATAACTGCATAAGGCCACAGAGTATTTTAAATACAGTTTATGAACTTCACATACCTCCTGTTGCTGCCCAAGCCCATGCCAAGCCTCTCCAATTCAGTTTTCTTCTTACCAGACAGATTTAAGCTTTCTTCTCTTGCTTTAATATCAAAATCTCTGTAGGCCAACCGTAAAGATGATACACTAGAACAGAACATAGAGTTAACATATAAATGTGAAATGCTACACTGAACACCCGACCCAATAATATTGGCAGAAAATTAACAATATATATCTTAGCACTGTATTTTCTATGTTCTGTGTTTACTGAAAATATTATTAACAGGAATAAATTCCAACTATAAGGATAGGAGAAAGCCAGGAGAGAGGACAATTCAAATGGTACCTCAGTCTGCATATGAGCAGGTGGTCTTTTTCAGAACTAATTTGAAACATGCTACTGCTGAAGCTCAGGACATAATTTTACATCACCTACAGTCCTAATCTATGTGATTAGATGTGATTAGATGCGAATCTCACTTCCTCCTAATCCTATGTGATACCACATAATTGTTCAAATTATCCTACTCTGACATATTACAGTCCTGTGGCATTCATTATCTTAGATTAGCAAAGTCTTCCCTTCAGGCACAGCTTGACCCAGCTATGTCTCCATCCCTTACCAATTAATAGCTAATCCCTTAACTATTTTCCAGTAATACCAGTGTAGCAGAGACAGAGATTTTGGAGAAAGACTGCTTAAATTTAATTTGCCAGGTAAAAAGGGATACAAATTTTATTGTTTTTAATGAGCAACTTAGCAATATTTTAATCCATATGTCTTGACTGACACAAAGTCCAAATGAACACTATCAGAAAAAAGTAAATAAGATTCAGGATGCTGCTGGTAGTTGTCATGCTACAAGCAGAAAGGAAGTACTTAAGCCTGAAATCCCTTGGAATTTTCCATCCATTTTGCACAAAAGCAGGAAGGACAAGAAAACAATTTTTTGACCAGAAAGTATTTTCTTCCAGCATGTCTCCTAACTATTTGACTACTGGAACAGGTTCTTCCCAGCTTGTTTTCTGGTCCCATGTACACTGACTTAAGCCAGAGTACCAGATGTCCCTACCAAAGTTCCTACCCTGCTGGTTAGTGCATCTCCTGCAAGACAGGAGCTGTGTGGCTGAACCTGTTGGAATGAAAAGGGCACAGTCTCCAGTCTTCTTCCATCACAGACGTGGGATCTAGGTCCCAGACTGCTATAAAGAACAGGTCATTACCCCTCTACTGATGAGGCATTTCAAAAAGCAGGAGAGCCACCTCAATCCTATGATGACTCAGTATCCTTTGACTGGGGCTTTTAGAGGACTTGGAGTCAGAATTAAAAAACCCTTACACCTTAGGTTCACGTGCTTATAACAATATGAGTCAGATACAAACCAGGATGCACCTGTGGAATGACTTTTGAAACCAACAAAATCAGAAAAACACTTCTTCAGAACAAAGTATATTCAGGGATGTTTTAAGTCAATTCAGAGAATCAACTGTTACACAGGAAATTGAAAATGTTCTCTAAATTCAACTTGAAACTGCAACGGATAAAATCAACCCAGCAATTTAAGCAGAAAGATTGGCAGCCCTTCTTATGGAATCTGTTTTATGAACATAAAGAATCTTATTTGCTGCTGATTAAAACAGAGATACTAATTATTTTTTTAAAGTAATTTCAGTTATCTATTCTCTTGTCAGTGCACAGCAGAAAACAATGAGACTGTGTACCAATTATAAAGTCAGATTTAAAGTTTTAAGTCTCAGAACTCTTTCTCCTTCTAAGTACCAGGCTACCATCACTTCCATTCCCACCATATAAGAAAATCACGCTGAATTAATTTACTAAAGCTCATTACTCGAGCTTTTAAAATTAAAACCACCACACAAATTAGCTGGAAGCAAATGCAATTTTGGAAATATTCACTCTTCTGTCACTTTGGTGTATGCTGCCATCTACAGTCAAAATTCCCAAAAATTAATCTCAAGGGAAACAGTTTTGCCTTCACTGGGATTGGATCCATAAACTGAAGTGTCTGTGCACAGCTCATGTTTGTACTCACTTTTCTGAGCTTCAGGGTTGAGTATTCATTAATTAAGGAGGACTAATGGAGTTGAGGCCTCAGGCAAAAATATCAAAGGGGTTTGGTGAAAATGAAGGCAGTTCCAGTATGAAACAACTGAAACTTAAACAGGCAATTCTAGCTATACTTGAAACTAACCCCTGCTCTTACCCAACAGGTACAAGTTAAGCCAAATATTCCCTATGCTCTTAGAAAGATTGGTTTAAATAAGATGAACTTCACTACACCAAACCAAAACAAACTGGGTAACTAGCATGGGGTAAAAAAAATTCAAGAGGTCTTCTGTGGTAATACTTAAATTTAACATATTTTAGACCTAGTTTGAATGTCATTCATATGTATCAGTAGACTGTCTATTTTCTCTGTTAAATAAGAAGAACACTAGGGCTATTTTTAAGGATAGCACTGGGCTATTTCCTCAGTAAATCATCAACTTTAAAAACATACACTTAATGGCAAAAAAAGGCAATGAGGGAAGTACTGTTTGCCTCATCCACATCTGTTGTTTAGTTTAAGAACTGAAGTTTTATTTGCATAAGCTAATCTATAGTAGTATTTAAAATATTGTCAAGTACCTCATCAAATTAAGCTTCATGATTTACCATTGTGTATTTAATTCATACTTACAGTGGTTCTTCCTTCTCGGTTTTCTTACTGCCATGAAGATCCTCTTGTTCCTTCATTTTATCTACAGCTTGTGCTTGTTTTTCAATCTCATTAAAGCTTTGGCTGCTCACTTTTTGGGCCCCCAAACCACCTTTTTTGGCACCCAGCTGAAATTATTGAAAAACATAAACCAAAAGCCCAACATTATAACTGAGATGATAACCTCAACTGACTGAACAGCATTCACAGACAGCAATAAAAATATGGAGCAAATACTTTTTTTCATGTTTTGATCCTCAACATGCTGCTCCCACTCTCTCTTACAAACTTAGCGCTGCAGTCAAGAATCACAGAGTAATGAAACCATCACAGTTTAATTGTTCAGAGGTTGGTAAGCTCAAAGAAATGCTGGAATATATAGCACAAATTTGGTTTCTTTTGTTGTATAGGAATAACAAAATTTCTTGCTCCAGAACCATTTGGTGCTCATTCACTTAATTCGCAATTTACATTTAGCAGTGGCAAAGATTCCTGAATTAATTCTCACTGGCCAGTGCTAGGGTGTTAACTTGAGATTTGGTCCTACTTCTAATAAACATCCACACAGGTATTTACTGATTTGTGACACAAGAGCAATATACAAGCTTTGTGCATATGCATGTGTATATAGCCTTTGCATATGACAAAACTTTGTACACTTTTTGAGATAAATACATCAGCTGATTGATTCTAGTTTTGGACTTGTTCCTTTAAAATAATTCTATTTTTAGTTCATATTACTTCAGAATAGAGTTACAGATTCTTTCCTTCTGATTAATAGGTTTAAAACCCACTTAATACTACAAACATGGACACAGTGTTGCTGATTCAGATGGTGGCACAGCACTCAAACTGCTGCTCAGTCTCCCATGTATTTAATTCCCCTCCAGCAGCACTGCAATTTCAAAATGCATTTATCCTAACCTTTAAAGCCTTCATGTAAAAGCTCCAACCTATGTGCATATACTTCAGGCTCTGACACTACAGTTCACAAACTGCAAGTGCCTCTGTGAACCCACTTATGTTCTCACTGTAAGGAAACATACCTGAATAAACCACTCAGAATAAAAAACTCCTCCATGTGTTAGGGCCCTCTTGTGGGAGCACAAAAACATAGGATGTAGTCTAAATTAATCTGTTCCAATAAACCTTCAAAATCCTTTGTCATTCAATAGCCCAGCCATAAAAGGAGTGACTCCCTGTATCACACTGTAACCCAAATACCCTATAATATTAAGGGTATTTCCTTAAGTCACAAGACCCATTCATTCAAAACCTACATTTTCCTAGCTAACTTGAGCTGTCTTCCTCAGATTTCATGTTCCTTGAACCATCATTCTAAGATACTCTCCTCATGCCCTCCTTACAGAGACCAGATGCCTAAGAAAGCGCTAATACCCCATCCAGAAGGAAGTCTATGAACTATCTTTAAACTATCTTGAATTGAATGCAGCTGCAAGTTACTTATAACTGATATCTCTCACTCACACTCTCTCTCCCCCACTTATCTGTATCCCTCCATACTGGTGTGTGGTGTGCAGTGAGGACTGCTCCAGAAATACAGATCTGAATGTCTCAAACTCATCTTGCATTGACAGATTATGCCACAAATGCATATTTAGCCACTCAAAAGTGCTACTGAAACTCTCTCCATTTTCAGGCTTTGCTACAAAAAGATCTCAGTGCCAACTACTTCAGGGGAAAGCCCGAAGGAGCCCTGTAAGCAACTACCAGCAAGTGAGAAGAAAGGCTACAGGACATGAGAAGAGTTGCAGGGACAATGGCTGTGAGAAGAAGTGAATTGGGATACAGATGTAGATATCAATATATGCTTTGACATTTTTGTTTTCCTCATTTTTTGGAAAAAATATCACCTGCTGTTCAGGTCCAGACAGCACAGAGTGACACTCAGATATAGGCGTGAAAGTGTAGACAGTGAGCTATATATACATGTAAATACAATTTATCTGAGGTTAGAAAATGACCCACAGAGCTGAAGCCTCTGCCAGATAATAACAGTATCCTGTCAGACAAATTTGCTTGACAATAATCCATTTTCAAACAGACCATTGGCTGTTTTGATAAAGAAACTGTTTCCAACTCCATTTTACTGGCTCTGTAGCATAAATTGTTACCAGCACAAGTACTGTTCAGTGCTAACTTACACAATACATTTCCATACTGTAATCTATTTCCACAGATCTATAATGCAGTTAAAAATACTCATTGTTTATATACACTTACCCCCTTCTTAGGTTGATTTGGCTTCCTTTTTATGAAGGTGGTGTTCTCTGCAAGGATTAAATAAACATTACTTGACATACAATTTTGTTAATGCCAGAACTGCAGAAGAAAATTTCCACAATATCGGCCTCAAAATAGTTTTTGCCATTTACTTTAATGCCTTGAAGTATTAGTTTCTACTGTGATGCTAAACTGAGTTAGAGGGAACAGAGATGTGAGTAATGTGGGGAACTGCTTCCTGCAAATATGCAATAGGAATAAACTTACAGTTTGATTTCAGTTGCAGACACCTGCTGGTCAACTGAACAAGAATGCAGGACTTGCTATTCTAAATCAGACCAGAGGTCCACCTGACCTCGTATCACTTTGAAGATGAATTTTTCCTGGATAAAATGATATTGGCTATATTTAAACTCACCAGTGATACACACAAAACATACCTGTATCATCATAAAAACCATCACAAGCATTACCAGATGTGACAACATACTCTATCACTAGACTGAAAAGCTTTGTTCAACTGCACAAATAAAATATTGGGAGTCCAGGTTTATCCATGAAGTTTGAAAGATCCAATCTTAATGCTTTGCATTAATTTTGAAACACAGAAATGAACATACATTCTGCTCTGCACACAGTCTTCAAATCTTGATATTCTTACTGAGACCCTAACAGGACTCCATACATTCTGAAAGGCACTTTATTGGCCTTCTTGACAGCTAACCTGAGCCAAGGTGTCTCCAACAATCAAAAGTTTTTAATCAACAGCTCCTATGGAACGTTTGTACACACATAAAAAATGGTTTGAGCTGAAATTTACGTGGAAATGAGCATACACATAACAGAGATTCTTCACATCACTTGTGATGTGCAAAACCAAAAAAAGCACTTTTTAAATGAGAAAACCAGGAAGTGTATGCAATTAACTATTTTTCCCAGTCTCCACCTGGAGACCTAAACCCAGTCAAGTGAAAAAAAAAACAGCTAAGACAATACCTGCCTAGGATAGTGAGTGAGTCCCAGACACCATTATCAATACAAGAATTTTTCAGTCTATAATTCTCTGTTCAGTTTTCTGAAAAGGGAACAAAAACTGTCCAGAGAGAAAAACTGACCTATTAGTACATCGTGTGTTTGCTTAACATCAATAACAGGTCATTAAACACAGCACAAGCCTCTGTTCCATGTGTGTGCCTTAAGTGCAGAACTCAAAGCAGTGTAACAGGAGGTGTAAAACACTAATGAGTGTGATACCTGCAGCACTGAAATTCATCAGGTCAGCTAAGACAGGAGAGCTAACACCAGAGCAACACTGACCAAAATGAATTTCTTAGAAGGACTAAGCTGTTTAAGAGAAAAAATTGCAACACAAATTCAGGTGTTTCAATTAACTCATGCACAGTGATACTGAAGTAAGAATTCCATGTCTCTTCCTAGTCACACATTCTCTGTACAAATGGGTATTGAAGTACTACACTTGCTGCTCTCTTCTGCTGCTTGCACTCATTACCTAATGCAGGTTGCGGTGATGTGCTAAGGCAATCCACACTTGGTCCATGTTCTGGTCCTAAAACATGATAAATAACAAGGGTAAGAACATCAGAAGGTTTTTTAGAATGCATTAAGTACCAAAACACAACCTCAGCGTACTCAGGGTACTGCTTGACAGATACAGTGTAACGTGTTACTTCTATCACAGCTTTACCAGTTCCCAGAAGAGCAGCAGACACCCAGACATTTCATCTGAACCCTACCGAATCAAATTATAATTTGGACTTCTAGTAAACATTTTTAAATGAACATGCAGTCCCACACATTCAAGCATAACCCTCTTAAAAATCCTTCCCCTCCAAAATTCTTGTGTTATTAGCATGCTTAGGTTAGTTAACTACTAAGGTAGGGTAAAAGAGCCTAAACAAAGAGACTACCAGAAAAATGCAACTTATTGTTAACAAAGAATCAGTCATACTTTCACAGGAATCTAGAATGTTTTCTGAAGTTTTCTGCTGGAGAGAAACTGGCTCTGGTAACATCCACTCTGTATTCTTTGCCTTGAAAAAAATAACAAAAATTAGAAGTGCACAAAAAATAGAATCCAGCAAATAAACAGGAGCACTGAGTTCAGACTGCCTAAGCACCACTACTAGGTTAATATTGGATTCTTATGATTACAGCTTTTAGGATTAAAACCTGTAGTCAAAAGGGCAGTTATTAACATTACAATAAATGCTAACCTTTATAAAAACAAGCTGGTTTCAATCCACTCCTTAACACCTTTATTTCACCTCTCAGGCATTTCAACATGTTTTCCACCCAAAAAAACCTCCAATATTTTAATTATGCTTTAGATTTATTTACTGTCTACTGGGTCACTGATTTACATGTGATCCCCAAGTCTTCTCCCCACTTGAGGCTCTTGCACTTTTCTAACCCTTAATTTTTGGTGGTGAGGAGTCCTCCCAAGTTTCCCTGGTGAGTCCACCCACTCCCCTCACACACCCTCTCCTCAACAGGCAGGTTTGTGACCAGATCATAACAGTATCAAGTTCATGGCACACTTGTGTTTTAGGTGTTCATAGACTGCCACTGTACTAGAAAGCAACTGTACTAGAACACTTAATGGTGTTGCAATATTTAGGAATACTAGGTGTAGTATTAACTTAATTGCTCTAAGCTGAAGATCAAAATTGCTGAGCTTGTTTTTACTGGCATTTTTCGAATTCCAAACACAGTTTTGAGTCTCTGAAACATTTATCTGAAAAATAAACAGAGCATCTATCACCTTAAGCAGGCAGGATCAAATAAACAAAAACCAACAGTAGCAACAGCCTTCAGGAAGTTACTTTAACATTTGCAAAGAGGATCTAAGTATTTTGGAGAAAGAAAAAGGCTTCTGCTTTACACTTTTAAAAACTTGTATTTTACTGATTAAAAATCAATGGTATCACATAGCATATTTAAATCAGAGCACTTCCAAGCAAGGCATTGTGAGTCCAAGTGGAATTATATACCTACAAAAAATATAGTTTCATTCCACATTTAGCTACTATTTGGGTCATTCTAAATTATTATCTCAGAATGTGGCTCACATCCAGGAAGATCTCTGAGATCCATAAAAGGAAAAGCAGATAAATGTTAACTCACTGACTTACCTATTCTTTATCAACTTTTCTTTTAGGGTTTGATCTTCACTATAAAGCACAGAGTTAACCAAAGTGTTTAGAAAGCAAATCAGGATTAAATATAGGTAATGTGCACCTTGGCAGAAACATGGGATGCGAAGAAGTCTTCTTCCTCCTCTTTGCTTTGAGGTGATGCAGGTGGCATTCCACATCCATCTGTCCACAGCTGAAATTAAAGGACAGAATTTTATAGGACAATTGCATTAATACATTTTTTTTCCAAATGCATTGATCTTAAAACTACTTTTGTTTTAAGGTTAACAATCTATTGGGTTTTTTCATGGTACATAATTTTTTCTTACAAATTTATTCAAGCTTCGATACATGACATTCCTTGTTTTATTAAATTCATACATATTTCATGTGTTCCTTGTGTCCCAGCTTTGAGCAATCCCTGATCTCAGGGCACGCTGGAGGCCTCAGTGCCATGGACCATTCCTAGCACTGTGCAGGACAGGACTATAACCTCTGATCTGCCTTTGAGTAATCCAAGATTACTCACAGGCAAATAATTTCTCATGGCTTTTCTTACTATGTGCAAAAATCATGGCCTCTGCCAGAAAGGTTACTGAGTATGCAACAACTATACCTTCTCCTCAACAACTGACTCTGTCTGTAAGTTACATATCTATTTACTAAAATTTTAAAATAAGAAGTACATAATTAATATCATACAATTGGATGGAATCTGCAATTGAAGCAAGATAATCACAGATCCTCAAAGACTCATTTGGGGAACATACAATCAACTTAAATACATATGGGATATTATATTTACTTGAACATATTTTACATCTAAAGCTGTTTAGTAAGTCGAAAGAAATATTCTCTAAAGTTGGTGATGTGAACTATATTATCCATAGCATGAATAATGCAGAATTATTATAACCCATTAAATTTCAAGCTATTTGATGCGCAAATAAAGGAAAACCCCCAAGCTTTCTTGCTTTTAAGTTCCACTCATCTGATCAGCTTCAAATTAATCAGTCATGAACTTAACAATCCCAATTAAACGATCAAAACATGCTTAATGTGTATGCAGAAGAGAACTGTTGTCAAACACTTAATACCTCAGTGAACCAATTCTGCAGCCTTTGCTAGTAACTTCTTCTCTGCAACCTAACAACATTCTGACAGCAGGCATGAATTATTTAATCATTTTTAATGCTGAATTTTAAAGAACAGCAAGTTCAGGACATACATAACTTGCTAATTTTTCAGATACTATTTTTAAAAAGGGAAAAAAAAAGAATTCATTTGTTCAAAACAAATCCCAACTTAAATCACAGATATTTTGTAGTCAATTCTATTAGAACTTTTAGAATTTTACCTGCTGTACTTCTCAAGAATAATTCAGTTTCAGAGAAGCAAAAATAACCACACTCTATAGTTCATGAAAAGGTGACCACATTTTTGTTATGCAATACCACTAATGTAATTTTGGAGAACACCTGCAAACGTTCAAAACAAATCCCAACTTAAATCACAGATATTTTGTAGTCAATTCTATTAGAACTTTTAGAATTTTACCTGCTGTACTTCTCAAGAATAATTCAGTTTCAGAGAAGCAAAAATAACCACACTCTATAGTTCATGAAAAGGTGACCACATTTTTGTTATGCAATACCACTAATGTAATTTTGGAGAACACCTGCAAACAAGGAGGTTTCCATTTTGAAGAATACTTGAGGTTTCTGCGTGAACTCCTATAAGTTACTGCAAATGCTAAAATTAATGCTTTGATTTTACTGCAAATGTTAAAATTAATGCTTTGATTTTGATCAGAAATGATCCTGAAATACTCAGCTGAGCTCTACCTCTCTACTCCAGGTAAGCTACAAAGTTTACTCCCCAACGTTCCTACTCACTGCAGTGTGTATCAGCATCTCCTGAAGACAGATAATCTCTTGCATTACTAATCAAAAACATAAAATAACTCTAGGGGGAGAGAAGATTAAGTTTTTCAGCAATCTCAATGCCACTGGACATGCACTACTCACATCAGTACCGTGTTTTCTTGTGGCCTGTGTTGCAAGAGATTTGATCTTCTCCTTGTACAGCTGAGCACCACGACTGTTATACTTGGCATTGGTATCATTTGTTGTGCATCCATGTTGATGGAAAAAAGCAGACTGTGAAGCAGAACATAGAAAATGTGATGAGAAACAGGTTGGAAAACTAACACCATTTAACATAAAAATATATTGCAATGTGCCAAAATACTCTGCACCTCTACCTGAATCTGATCTTTAAAATGATGAAGTCTAAGTACAAAGAAAACTCCACTCTGGCAACCTCTTTACATGTAAGTAGAACAGCAGAAAAAACTAAATACATTAGTGGGATGCTTTAAAAACATACATGAATGAAGCTTCCATCATGTATGAAGAATACTAGTTCTGAAATGATTAGGTGAAAGGAAGAGGTAAAATTGATTGCCAATACCTGTGAATCACAGGACTTTGCTAGTAATTTAAAAGGCATTGCTTGCCTTCAACTCTATCAGGTTAAAGAAATAGAACATACAGATATAGAGAGATACTGAACCTTCAGAACACTGTATGTTCAATAGCATCAAAATTACTATATAAAAATTGTTTTCCTTCAAAAGAAAAGTATGTGTATGCACACATATATGTACCTATATGTATTTACACACTTGTGTTTTTATATAAAATATATAAATGGAAAATTTTATTCAAGCTTAGGATCTTAAAACAAGCAACACTACTATTTCCTCTCTGACGGTGCAGCATGTCTGACTTGAGCTGTACCTCAGGTCTAAGTCAGATCTTGACTTCTGAGTGACTACTGACAGTGCCATGATGATTTTTGGCATTGGTGTTTTCATAAGTCACGTAAGGAAACACAGTCAGAGGCAGGTGCCCTAGGTTAGGTTTCCAAGCTGTTGGAAAACCATCTTTCAGCATTTGTTAAGTTAGATACATACTGACCAGGAATCTGATCTGGCCTTTTCAGTGACTTTCACTAATGACTTGTAGGAAATAAAGAAAACATTTGCAGATTAACCCAAGATGGAAAAGTTGCAAAAAGCAGAGAGGATGAAATCAGCATGCAAAGGAATTCTTAAAAAATGAGGGTATGGAGGCTGCAAGGAAGAAAATACACTGGAAAAATAAAAACACCTCCAAGATGAGCCAATAAGGACAGACAACAGCTTCCAGGCCTAACAAGCTTCAATGTGCGAAGCAAATACTCAGGAGTACATACAGCATTCGCATTTCCTCCAACCTGCATGCATCTGAGCTGAAACCAAGACCAGTTGGAATCCAGTTCTGTAGATCTAAACAGAAAGAAACATTTTTTATATTATCTCCAAAGCCATTTAAAATCTCTCCATTTTTTTTTTTGCTTTTCAGAAAGCACTAATAAGAGACATTTTCATTTGACAATCACACATAATGACAAAGTGACAATTCGAATGTCATAGCACAGCAAAAATCTGGGGTATGAGAATGCCATGATCATCATAGTATCACAGCACTTTAAGGGGTTGGAATGGACCTTAGAGATCATCTAGTCCCACCCCCTCCTGCCTTGGGCAGGGACACCTCCCACCAGACCAGGTTGGTCCAGGCCTCATCCAATCTGGCTTTGAAATCTGCCAGTGTTGGGTCATCCACACCTCCATGGGCAACCTGTGCCAGTGTCTCACCACCCTCACAGAAGAACACTTCAGCCAATAAGGACAGACAACAGCTTCCAGGCCTAACAAGCTTCAATGTGCGAAGCAAATACTCAGGAGTACATACAGCATTCGCATTTCCTCCAACCTGCATGCATCTGAGCTGAAACCAAGACCAGTTGGAATCCAGTTCTGTAGATCTAAACAGAAAGAAACATTTTTTATATTATCTCCAAAGCCATTTAAAATCTCTCCATTTTTTTTTTTGCTTTTCAGAAAGCACTAATAAGAGACATTTTCATTTGACAATCACACATAATGACAAAGTGACAATTCGAATGTCATAGCACAGCAAAAATCTGGGGTATGAGAATGCCATGATCATCATAGTATCACAGCACTTTAAGGGGTTGGAATGGACCTTAGAGATCATCTAGTCCCAACCCCTCCTGCCTTGGGCAGGGACACCTCCCACCAGACCAGATTGCTCAAGGCTTTATTCAGCCTGGCCTTGACAACACTGCCAGGGTTGGGACATCCACAACCTTCCTGAGCAATCTGTGCCAGTGTCTCACCAACCTTGCATTAAAAAACTTCCTAATATCTAAACTTCCCTCTTTCAATTTATACCCATTACTCCTTGTCCTGTCACTGCAGTTTCTAACAAAGAGAACCTCTCCAGCTTCTCTGCAGGCCCTTCAGATACTGAAAGGTTGCTAAGAGGTCTCCACACCACCTTCTCTGCTCCAGGCCCTGTAGACTGCCCAAGTACTAAAATCATAGAATAATAGAATTGTTTTGGTTGGAAGAGACTAGCACTCAGGTGACACAACAATGAACTATTTCAGGAAGCAAAGTTACTTAAAACCTAACACTGTTGAAGTTAATAAACTAGAATTTGCCTCAGTCTTTATCTGGAGGAATGATGAAACACTTCAACACACTTACTCCATTCTTCATTTTTATCCCCTTCAATGCACACAGAACCCTGCCAACAGATGCACACTACAGGCAGAAAATGGGAACAGGTGATTGGTACTACAAATCCCGCTGAAGCCTACCTATCTACCTAGTTCCCAAGCAACTATCAGATACATCAAAGCAAACACAAACATTTACAGGGTTTGAATCAGAAGCTGAGGGAAGAATGGGTTTTCATCTCTGAGCAGCTATCTGAGCAAACAAACAAAACATTAAAAGATGCAATTTTTACTGCAAAACAAACAAACCAACCACTTACCGAATGAAACTCAAATGAACTCCAAGTGATCGATGGGTCCCTGAACAGTCAATGCAGAGAAACACTCCATAGGTTATGCTTGCCCAGCTGGGGTTCTTCGCTCCACAGTCAAAACACACCTTAGAGAAAATAAACATCAGTAATAGGACTTGAGCATAACCAGGTTTTATATTTGTATTACAGGTCATGCTAACACCCCATCAGTAATCAAACTTAATTAACTCATTCTTACAGCGTTTATTGACATGACAACTTGATACTATCTCAACTTCATAAACATAAAGAGCAGTTATACAATCTGCCCACACCACTACATGCCTTCCCTATTTCCACTTATAACCAGTGTACACAGGTGAGAAATCAGGTCAGAGAACCCACATCAGTCTGGCTCAAACACAGGTTTAACACAGCACTTCCAGCACTCCTGAAATAGTAAAGTGTCTAAGAATTATTTCCCCAAGGGAAATACTCTCTTCATGGTGTACCACTGAGTCTGCAGAGGGTATGTGCGAGTGCAGCTATCAGCAGTACTAATGACATAATTATCTACTTCCCTCTAGAGAAACCCAGGCCTTTATGGCAAGCCATGGAAATGCAGCCGTTGGAAGAACCTCCACACTGTGCACAGCTTAGCTCAGCACCCTCTGCCAGACATGACTACCTGTATGATTCATCACACACCTATTGCCACATCAGCCTTTTGACTGGTTAGAAAGCAATCAGGCCCACAATTACTGCACAGACAAACCCATGGATTTCTTATCCTTTGCCATCACGTTACACCTCTTAACATTCAGCCCAAACTACAAGACTACTGTCTACGTTTCATACGCTTTGCAGGTCTGCAGACCACAGTTTTCAAGTACTGTTTCAGCTGTTCTGAGTTTTGTGCTCCTTTGGCCAAGGAAAGCAAGAGCCTAAAACGTCTGATGCAAATCCATTTTCAAATGCAGGGAAGAACACAAATTTAAACAGAAACAGGTATTTCTAGTTAAATGCCATGTACACACATCTGTTCTTATATGACAGCCCTTCATTATCTGATCAATTCCGTTTCAGTGGTATTTGTAATGGCTGCAAAGAAGCAATTCTACAGTAAAATCAACAATCTGTACATACAGTCAGTGGCATCTACTAAGAAACAACTCCACAGAGAGACAAGCTTTTACACACAAATTGACAGCATTCCAATCCACAACTTTATCCCTTAACAACCTCCTATAAATCTAACTCATCCTTGAATAGCAAGGGAAGTTCTAGCTTATGCAGGTAATAGAAGAAAAGTTTATTCCAAGCCAGCTGGGGACATAAAGAACATCAGACACACAGGACACAGTGCTTCTAGCACCTCCTGGTCAGGCTGAAGAAAAAATAAATAAATTCAGAAGTCTCCTTGCTAGGAACTCCTATTTTTTTGTATTTACCCAGTCAAAAAAGCCCTGAGTCTGCACTTAAGTCAGCTCACTTATCATCCACCCATATTAATTTCAAGTACATGCCCCGGAGCAGGTTGAGGCTAAACTCCTCATTTTAGTGTGGGTCTATTTAGCTTGTACTGTCCAAATTTATCAGGTACAAGCGAAGTTCACCAGCAAGTCCAGCATTAATTCTTCCAACATCTGAACATTTCAAGGGTGTCAATCAGGCTGAAGACATGCAGAGAACAGAGAGGTCACAGCTCCTGCATGTGCAAGTCCCTTCCCTCTCAACAGAGACTTAATATTAATTATTTACATATCCCACTACTGTATATGGAAATAGGTCATTCACTGACATACAGCAGAAAGAAGAAGATAAAAGCTACACAGAATGAGTGACAAAAGGAGAGGATAAGAGGAATCACTGAAACAAGCTCAGGTGAAAGAATGATATACAGGGAGTCAGGGAAAAAGAATAATAAATAAGACTTCATGTATGCTATGTTCTAAGAAAACACATAGCCTAAGTAGTCAGAACTCACTCTCTTTTTCCCAATTCTCTGAGTTCTTTGAAGCCATTTCTTAAAAAACAACACGTGCCACATCTTGATTTCCAATTGACTACTTTTAGTTTTTTTCTTATGAGGTCAAAAGAAGGATGGGAACAAAAAAAAGGCGAAGACTCTGCTCGAAACCAAAGCTAAGAGAACATCCCTGGTCTGCTTCTAATACAGGAGAGCAGAGCAGACTTGTGAAAATTCTCTGGAGGACAAATGGGAAATGAGAATCTTGAGTGGGTGGTTAAAAAAAAAAATCCATGTTTTAAGAAGTTCAGTTATAAACATCCCTGAAGATTCTCCTCCCTTTCCTGGCACAATTATAAGCACTTCATAATTTCAGCATCTTAAAGTCAATTGTATCACCTTGAAAGCTGGTGGCCACAAACCAACACTGCTCAGCATCTTCACTCACACAGGACTCCCTACCAGCTACTTACCAGACACCTGTGGAAACTATTCATATGCATCAAGACTGTGGCTTTTAGGACTGAGATGCAAGTAGGAACATCTAATTTTCTTGTGAAACTAGTGTATGAACTGTCATTTCCATCATATTATGTCACCAACATAGAAGCATGTTTCATTAACACTTACGCTAATTCAGCTTAAGTTTTCACAGTCTTTAGCAAGAATTGGGGAAAAAATTAAAATCAACTACAGAGCTGCCCCATGAAATTTTTTCCACTTTAAAACCAGATAAAGTGTATTTTCTGTACCGATCTACATACTACTAAAAATATCAAAATAATGAATAAAAAGCAATTTGAAGGATATGCTCAAATAACCTACTGCTTTTAAAATACACTTGCATTATTTTTGCTTATTTTGTGTTCAAGCATTTCATGACAGTGTACATTCAGCAACAGCCACTTTGCAAAAAAAACAGCCAAAGACTTAATTGAGATGTTTGTATGAAAGCAAACACAAGAGATTTGGGTATAATCCATAGCAAGCAGTCACTAAATCATCCAATATCCACCTTGTCCAAGATGCCTATGTTAAATAAATACATCATATATTGTTGGATATGGAAATGTAATAATATATAGCCAATAGAAATGTTAGTTTTGGCACGATCAGAAGAGATGAGCAGGTTCAGCAAGCTCAGTTACCCCTGAGGTCAGGGTTACATGGGGACTTTCAGCCTCTACACAGGCACTTTGAACCTCCCATGTAGCTAAGCTTTGCATTGACTTGTGCTTGTCATTCTCAGGCTGTGCAAACAGCTGCCTGAACACTAAACCAGCTGAAATTCAGGAGGCAGTTTCACACTTGGCTGAAGGTGATCTAAATGCAAGCAGCTACTCAGTCTCTTAGTTACCAGACACTGTACCCAGATATGCTTTCCTTCTTCTCTTGCATCAGCAATAATAATCACACTTGCTGATGCCACTGGGAACCAGCACTGCACAGGTATATAGACTCAGAGCAAAGGTAGGTCCAACTCACACCACAGCCACATGACCA